CCGCCATAAGTTGGGTTTCATAGAATTATGTGGATTTGTGTCCTTAGTATATGCAGATTGTAAAACCTTTATTTGAAACCTTAAAAAAAGTTGTAGGATTGATTGTGACTATAAGTATTAACGGCCAACCAACATTGAAGTGTTTACGAACAATAATTGATTTTTTGTCTAGTATAAAGAAATAATAGCTTTGTAGCTCTTTGACCTTGTTCAACATCTTTGACAGTTTGATTTATTTTGATCTCCGTGTATTCATGATCCTTGTGTAGTTTTATCATGTGAGTGTTTACAATGTAACATGCTACAGATTGTAAGTGATGAAGAAACCCTGCAGTCGGAGATCAAATTAAGTCTGCAGCCGATGGACAACAGGGAGATCAAGTTGGCAGTGTTGGCTACAGTACAAGGTCCACTGTGGGGACATCTCACTATCAGTAGAATCTGCAGAACTGTGGACAAGAATGTGGTGCGTTCTCATCTCTTGTTATGTGACCTGACTGAGAAATAGTGTTAGACTCTTTTTGGACACATGTTCCTTTAAGTTCTAAACCTAAACCAACTCGAACGGGGATCCCACTCGTCTGTGAGGACCATGAACGAGTCCGAGTCGTGAATTTTGTCAGGGAAAGTAATTGGATTGAACTGTAATTTTACCGTTAGTCCTTGCAACTCTTGATCTTTTCAACTGTTGATTCTACTTGTTACGTGGTATTGAAAGACCTTTGATTCTGGATACTTCATAACTTTTAATTTCGGATTCTCTCTTGAATGCGGCCTTGTCGTGGTAACATCATAATAATCTCATACATGAGTAGGGTGACATTGTGGTCATCTCCCACAGTGACATAAAGATCATCTGTGAGATGATGAGAGATCAGTGTAATACTCAATTATTCTAAAGAATAAAATCATATGCAACAAAGGTTCATAACAAACAAGGTTAAGGTTAAGGTTAAGGTTCATGACAACACACCGTGGATATAACCTCCCAACCAATGATTCGTTTGTACACTGGTTCTCAAAGTTTTCAACGAACAAGGAGCCAATGTTTCGGTCAAATTTTAGCATAATTTTTTAGATTAAATCAAATATAAAACCAGGAAACTGACTGTAAATGTCCTTTGTACTTGTTGCAGCTCCCCCTGTATGCTTTTGGGGGAAAGCCGACAGTGAACATATCTCAAGGGGTGTTTGAGGTTGATTCTCGTCAGTATCTCTTTCTTGATGAAAAGTCACTAGAAAGCTCAATTGCCTTGTCAAACAGTGGAGATAGCTCTGCTTTCTTCAGAATCACTGAAGGTTTGTGTACTCTGCTACTCTCATTACAAAAGAATGATTACTTGATATAATTTTGTTTTAAGTAATCAATGAGTTTGTAATCACAGATTGAAATACTGCCTTTATCATCCTTATGGATCAGCTGAAGACAATTTATATTTTAGTTCCGCCCAGTTTATGTAGAGGGTGAAACTTTGCATGCATGTTGTCAGTTAGACTATACTTAAAACCTCATAATTTTTGTAAACAAATCAAGAAGCTATAGGAATTTACATAAAATATTTTGCAAATTTTTAAAATTTTAAGAATTTTGTAACAAAGTTTTGGTTTAACTTCAAGGGCATAAATAAGCAAAATGGTACAAGTTTTAGATCTCTAAGTTGTGTGATGTTTGAGTTGCGTAATTTTTATAAAAGTTGTAATCCTGTCAAAAAACGGCATTTTTGTATTTTTTATCCCTTGAAACTCAAAAACCAAAAGAGATTTTAAAAAAAATACCCCCGCCGCAGCAAACCTGCAGACTTAGCGAATTTCCATTTGCCTGATTGGATTTACACTAAAATGTCTTCTTAAAATGCTGGGTAAAATAATACCTGACAAAAATTTCAGCCAAATCTGAAAGGTCAATGTCCAATTCATATGGTGAAATTGGTTGTTTTGGCATGGAATGATCCATAGTTTTGAACACTGAACGATGTTAGATTTTTTTATCTAGGTCTAATTTTCATTTGCTCATCATATGTTGCAGCCACCTTTAAATCCTCAGCTGGTCTGTCCATCTGTCCCCAGGAGGGTGTGTTACAAGCTGGCCAGACAGCTACCATCCGTGTAGGCCTTCTAGTCACTGCTCAGCGGCTAGGTAAACTATTATTACTACAGTATTCAACTTATGCTGTAATCAATATTTATAGGTTCATAAGTTTTGCTTTTGTCCTTGCTTTGCCCAGTGTAACCTACTTGTTTTTCTAGAGTACCTACTGAGACAGACCACAAGATCAGTGAGTGTGGCACAGCTGAGTATCCACCTGGGAGATGAGAGTACCAGACAGAGACTGCTGCGTACCAGAGGTCTCTATGGCGTGTTGTCTACTAGAGTCTCCCAACTGTCTTGTATCCCCTCTAAGCCCATCCCAGACCTGGACAAACTTGATGTGTCTGCGGTGAGTTCATTCATCACTAGGCTACTATATAGAAAGCTTTGATAACAACATGTATGCCTTAATTTGTAAACAGCGCACCTTAGGAATTTTACGTATAGTGTATTTTTACATTTACTATTAATTTGCATACATAAATTAAGTTTTAAAACATGACATACACGAAACACATCTGAGGTAGCAGGGAAATTCAGGTGTGTGTGTTTGGAATGTTAGGCAAATTTGGTAATACCCTAGGAAGGGTTTGATTTGACTGGGACCGGGGAAAATCTGTGAGCTGTACGTGATTCGAATTTATGATAATACTCTGAAAAAAAAAGGCCTGAAATCGACGATTTTTCTTGTTTAGCATCATCGAAAATAGCGATTGCACAGCAGGAACAATCATGATGAACCCTGGGAATATTACTGAATGTTGTCACAATGAAATCATCATGAATTTCGCTGTGATGGAATGATATGATCACCGTTGTGCCACGATCGTAAGAAACCACAATAAGTGTTGTCATGATCGCAAGAAATTATCACAGATATGCCGGGATTTTGAGAGACACTCACAACGTTTCTGCAATTCTAATGTTTCCGCGATTACAAGTAATGATTTTGGTCGTTTTAAATTTTAAGGATTAGGATATCAGATTTTAAATCCCTGACTTTTACTAATATCTGTAATTACCATAACCGAAACCAAAGACCAAGATAAAGTCGGAATTACTATTTCTATATGAACGCAAACATTAAATAACACTAGCATTGTACAAGTTAAAATGTGTATATTTTTTGTTTTTGTATAGTTATATAAAAATGGTTTATTTTTTAGTTGTCTCGATTCAAGTTTATTTCTCATAAAAATAAACCATTTTTATATTGCAATTTACGATCCAGAGTCTTATCCACCATGAAATTGTATAGTTATCGGTCAGTTTAATTCTTATGCTAACTTTATGTCACCATTTATATTACCGTAAGTTTTTTTTAGATTTTTGGTGCCAGTATTCAATTAAAGGGATAAGTTATGCTTATAAGTGGCCGGTTTTGCAAATTTTGAACTCTGAACCAGGAAAACCTGAATTAATTGACCTTGAATTTATTTTGATGGGACACAGGATACCCTTTGGGAGGTTCAGTTGGTAATACCTTGGCTTAGGGTAGTTTTGACCGCAAGGCACAGATGGTATTTATTACGTTTGTGAAGGGACTTTTTGACTTTTGTGAGGGTAAAGTTGCATACCCAATAATTTTTAACTTATTTTGCTAATTCTATTTCAGCCCCTATTATACAAAATATATAAATATCTTTAAAAAATTTACGTATAAACATTAAAAAAAACTTTTTGGATTATTACAATAAAAGTGCATTGACCTGTATTTGTAGCTTTGCTATTGTGTTCTATCCTATACCTAGTTCTTAATCTTTCTACCTTGTTCCAGACTGGTGCTGAGGATTTGTGGGAAGAGGACACCAATGAATGGGCAGTTGGGGTCTTAATAAACAGGAAGGCATTAGAAGCATTGCGTCTGGACACTTCAGTGGACTTTGTCGATTTGTCCACAACCATGTCCAAGCACTGAAGTTGTTCACACCTACTTACTGATGGGGCGGGTCAAATCTCAGTTGATTTTTTGCCTCTTAGATTAGCCGCCTCCACTCTTCTCTATCCTCCGCCATCCGGATTTCTCTTCTGCATTGGATCACATCATTTTTGTCTTCATACCATCTTAGTTAAGGCCTACCCAACAGACGTCTTCCTGTAGGTACGGCCTCACAAACCTCCTTCAGTCCTGTCTCCGAAGTACATGACCTAGCCAACTAATTCTTTTGGCTTTTATAAGCGATATTATGTCACGCTCTTTATATAGGGCACGCAGCTCTCTATTTTTCCTTATGCGCCAAACTCCTTCTTCATAAATTGGACCAAATATTTATGTCTAATCTGTTTATTTATATCTAAGTACCTTATTTTCAAACACCGTCAAACGTCCTTTATTTCTTTTGGAGAGGACCCATGTTTTACTTCCATACAGTAACATTGGCTGTATAATGGTCTTGTATATTCTTAAATTTGAGCATCTTGATAAAAGTTTGGATGAAAAAAGTTTTGTTACAGGCCCCAAGGCTCTTATTGGCATTTGCTAGTTTACTTTGTATCTCCAGATCTTCCGAATTTGAACTATTGACGGTAACTCCTAAATATTTAAAGATCTCCAGACAATTAATTGAATAGTTGGCAATGTTGAAATTTACGTCTCTATTGTTAGCGTATAGGCCAAAACGTTCACACCTAATAGTTTTTTTTTACAAGTTTAAGAAATGACTGAATATTTTGCAAGTTAGTGTTACTGTTAGTTTTTTAAAATGTATATAAAATGTTATTTAATTCTATTTCATAATACCTTTTCCCTAAGTAAGTTTTAAAAGTTGTTGACCAATAAATAGTTCAACATTATTTGTTTTTTTTTATATGATAACTTACCCTCTTTGCTTATAAATCTCAAAATAATGCGGCCTATTTAATATTAGGTTGTTATATTATCATCACATATTTTTATACATAATAAATAAACTTATTTTTTATTTTTCAGTTTATAATTTTACAAATAAAAATATAGTTACAGTTCCAAATGGATCCTCAGTGATTCTTCGAATAATCATATACTGCTTCGCCATCTAAAAAATGTGTAATATTAATAGCTTAACAGTTGACTACTGTTTCTAATGTTTTTATTCAGATACTAGCTGTGTGCCCGTTCTACACACGGGGATCTTATAGTGGTCAGTTGAAACCTTCCTATATAAAGAACAGCAGTTGGTTTGCATATTTTCAGATATGCTGGCCAAACTATTATATATATAAACAAATACAGTATCTGACAGTTTCAAGTAAAAAGAATGTGTAATAGATCTATGAGGGGTATACTTTCATATCTGATGGCACAAACAACCAAATGAGTAATATTGATTATTTGTTTGTTTAATTTGATATATTGTTCGGTTAGTTAGGTTAGGTCAACCTGACCTAACTAACCAAACGATATATAGTTAAAATGCTATAGCTCAACCTCGCTATTAAACACTCAGGTTGAAAATTTCACTATCAAAGGTGCTCTTGTCCTGTCCGTACGGAACACTGAGTAATATGCACTACCAACTTTATGAATAATTGTTTAGGCCTATGAACCCACGAGATGGGCAATTGGTCTAGGCTGTATGGTCCAGCGAGCAGCACGTAGCGTTGAGAACTGAGAAGACACATTGGAAAAGTGATTTAAGCATAATCCGTAAACCTCTGTTCTGTTACAATCCCCCACTGCAGTTGTCACTTAACACTTTACACAACCCCCATTGAAGTGCCGTCAATGAGTTGAAACGTTTTATGTAAGCTATTGATAATGCTTAAGTAAAAAATGTAAGTTTCCCAGCCATATACAACACTGATTCAAGGTCTTATTCCTGGAAACAAACGGTCAAATGAAAAAAAAAACAATCAATGTTTTTGTGGTTCAAGATTAAATCGAAATAAAATCCACAAAATACTTATTAAAAATCAAATATTATAATTAATTTAGATTAAAAAACATTTAATTGGTTGTCAGACAATTTAAATAAGATAATTTGTCATAATCATTCTAAAATTGACTATAAAGAGTCTATTAGTAGTAATTATAATCTTCAAAATAAGATCTGGGGTAACATTCTAAAAGCAAACACTTATCAATGGTTACATGGAAATTGTTTCCATAGGAACAAATTAATTTTACATTTGAATTGTTGAAACATAAGTGAGAGACAGTATTTTAAAACAATAGATTTGTTTGATAAATTTAATGATTCAAACAGGAAATGAGTTACAAGTCACAAGATGTTATAGCAATTGACAATGAAGAATGGAAGAATTAGCAATAGAAACAGCTTTAAGTAAGAAACACCTCAGAAATGTGAATCACAATGAAAATGATGAGATAGCCTAGGCTTCATGAAATCAACATCAGTTTGCCGTCAAGCAACCAAAGGTGATTACCAATAGCAGAGGCAGAAAGTATACAAACACTCTAGGGACATTGATAAATGGAGGGGGAGAATTTTTGATTGGAGTAAGACGTTAAACCAACCTTCAAGATGAACAGAAACAATTTGTGACAGAAGAGAACAAACATGAAGATATGCAGAGCTGCAGATTATGAAGAAAGAATTAGCAAAACGAGATTAAGAAATGTATCCAAGATAAGAATTTTAGGTAACTAGTATTATTGTATTTAGGGTTAGAACTCTTTGTATTCATACCGAGTGAGGTGGCATAATGCAATCTCACATTCGGGATGTCTGACTATCAGACTGGCCATTCCGAAGAAGTTTGTACGGTTTCTTTCCTCACTTAGGCAAATGCCGGAATGGTTCCCTCAAGGGCCGTACCCCGCCAAACATAATGGAACTCTGTTCTAATTCTGTTTGGTTTAACAAACCCCCAAGTTGATGGATAACCAATAAATAAAAACTTATTTTTCACTATTCTTGTTTTGTATTCTTTATTAGTTTAATATATGGATAAGGACAAAATATAAGTATTATTTTTTCCAATTGATAAAAAGCTGCAATTTAAAAAAATTATCAAATATATCCTCATAAATGGAATGCATTCTTTAAGAACCAACAGTACAAAAGTCAATGGTTGAACTAGCAGAAACTTCGCAGACCAGTTTGTACAAATACTTTACAAAAGTTTCAAAATGCTCTCTCAATCATCCTCAAAGTTATTAAAAATCATTCTTTGCAAAGCTTCCAACCTGTAGTAATCCCGAACACCCCCACCTTAGCATATTTTCATATCCCTACCCAAATTTTCACAGGTATGCTAATTCTAAGGTTAGCTAAATTCAGATACTTTTAAAAATAATTCTTCCAGTATGCTATATTATGAAAATGTAATTAGGAATCTGAAAAGTTTTTTTCTGCTTCATTCTAGCTTGGATAAAACAAACTCCCTTAGTAGATTTGTCATCCTTATGGTTAAGCTTAAGAACATTTTTTTGTTCCGTCCGGGCTGCTAGGATCCTGTTTTTATTTCCAATTTTGTATCTTCTTGGTAATTCAATTATTTGAAACCTTGTTTAACCAAATCAAAAGATTTAATCATAAACAATAACTCGTCCCCTAGTTTAATCAAACAATAAATTACAAATCATGAAATTGGCCAAAAATAAAAAAAATATAAACAAAATGTCAACTCTAGCGCCCAGTGTCACCAACCTTAGGCACAAAAATTACCTAATATTTCAATGGGATGAGAATTCTACTTATGTTAGCCATGATTCTAGTAACCAACTATTTCATTTCTAATGGTCACTCAAATTTTTATCGCTAGATTTAAAAATTATTTTTCACCTATTGGCAATTTGGTATGTAGTAACCATTGGGTCTGAAAATTGCAGTTCTTTTTTCTGTGGTTGGATTTTCATTGGAGACTCTGGCATGGAACCTGTGTAGCCCGGTGTTTTCAAGTCATACGGCAGACGCAATCTGTTCTGATCTGCCAAGTTGAGGATTTTCTCAGTGAATTCCGGTAACAGTTGATTAGTTACAGCTTCATTTGATATGTTTTGTGCAGCCCTACAACAAAAGATAAATAAAATCTTTATTTTTTTCAGAACCAACAAATAATTTCAATTGTTTTACATTCAGCAAAAAGTCCTCAATTTTATAAAAAAGGCTTTGTAGCTCTCTCCGTATACTCAAGAGTTTCTGACCTGGAGAAGATAAGGTGAAAATTTAAAAGAGAAAGTTATGTTTATCATGAAGCTATTGAATTCTAGAAGAAATTTATTCTAAAACTATTTAATCTAAAGCTGTTAAAATGATTACTGTAATCATGAGTTATTTTGAAAATCACCATAATTTAATCTGGTATATTTTTAAAATTAACCATGATTACTTGTACTCACATATTTTTCTGCGCCAATTCTGAAGTAGAGTCACCTACAGCTTGGGTGTGATGGTTATCTCTATTCATCACTTTATCACAAACTCTTTCACAGTTTTTGTTTTCTTCACCTTTTGTGTTCAGTTGGACCTTGTAACAAATTAAAACAAAAAGTGTAGTTCAATATACAATTGAGTTTCCCTTGGCAAGACCTATGTCTAAGGATATTGTACTTCATTTTATATAAAAAAAAAAAAAACTTGTATTAGTCTACCATTCTATCCACATAGAAAATAAACTAATAATGTAGAGTTCTTAAATATTTATTCATGGTAAATCTTATTACATCTGACTCAGTGTACCGTATAAACCGGTCCGCACAACGATAGTCATTTTTGTTTAGGCCGGCCAAAAAGTTTTAATTTGTAATGTCTTGTGTAAATTTAGATGTTTTGTGTGTCATTGTGTGTACGTGGAATTCAACGACCAATGCTTCAACAGTAATAATTAACCAGACAGAAGATTTGACAATGGGGCTGTTTGCCCCGAAACTGTAGTCATCAAATAAGACGACTTGGATTGAAGACGTAAATAAGGTATTAAACCTATTATTTTTAATACTCTCCATCTCTCTCTCTATCTTCTAGCTCCTCCACTTCTGCCCCAACTTCTCCAACATCGTTGCAGACACTATCCCACCATCTCTTCTTGGGCCTTCCTAATGCTAATTTCCCTTCTGGCTTTCCTATGCTTGCTTCTTTTAATAGTGAACCAATAATAATATTCTTTTATTTCTATTTCCATATGGAATAAAATATGCTTTTTTCTCACTAAACCAACTCGAAAATTATCTACTTTCCAGATATTGAAACAAACTACACATAAAATGGGAATCTAAGTTACCGTGTACAAAAAATATGATTTACATGATCAGGGAGTTCCACACTGTTTGGTATATCCTGTCTCTTCATCACACCACATGTATCTTTGCTTGCTACTCCCCATGTTGTAGAGTACGTGAAGTCAATGACCTTCTCTCGTATCTCGGGATCATTGATGTCGTCAAGGGAGATTTCTGGACATTTGTAGACTCGGGGGCGAGTTAACCGGGCACGTCCATCATCTTGTGGTAGGTCCTTGAACATTAAAAATATTATGGTCAATTCAGTATAAATTAATTTTCATATATACTAGGGTGTTGTAAAAAATGATAGGTGTGTTGTGTTAAAAAAGTGTCATTTTGGTGTAGCCATCATTAGCTCAGCCAGTTTTGTTTACATGTTCAAACAGCAATGTTGGTGTTTGTTGCCAATTAGGTTTTCTATTTTAACCTAAAAGTTCCAAACCGGTTGGATTGTAAGAGGTGATTGATCCTAGGTTAGGTTTTCACTCAAACACACCATGTTCATGTCACCACAATTCACAATAATTACATGAAAATATATGTTGAATTTCACATCTTACCGGTTTAATAAGCGGTTGACGTGGGTCAGTTTGAACAATCGGTTTTGGTTGTAATAAAAAGTCGAAGGGTGTCAAACAATCTCTTGATAACTGTGTCAATGTTTCATTATTTCTGTATACAGGATCAATTCCTTTTGTATCCCCAACTTCAAAATGTCTATCTTTAGGCCATTTCTTGACACCCCAGCCAGTTGCTTCTGGCCATTTGAAATCTTCATTGTAACTTGATGTGAACATCGCCTGGATTTAAAGTTAAATTAATAAACACAAATAATACAATATACAAGCTGTCAAGTTTTAGTACATTGAATAATATGTAGTTAAGTATGGCCAATCATAATTTAGAATTGTAAAGAAAAAAGTGTAACCATTTGCTGCATATGTCAAGCTCATGAAAACAACAACTTCGACTTGTAAATGTTTTTGGAGTTACTACAACATATGGCAAGAACAAGAAATGATTTCCAGGTGTTAAGAAAATATTTTGTGTATATTGACAGAAAAACCTTACAGGTTGTGTTTAGGATTGTTTAATAAAACAAAATTAAAAAATACTGGTTTACTTATGCTTTGATATTGAGTATGGTCTTCAGTCTAACAGAACTGATGAAGATATTCCATTTGGACATTTGATCATTGCTGTGTTTTATTTCTATAGATTACTAATGGATAAAACACTTCTCATAAATTAACAAAGTTCTTGAGGCTTTGGGTGAAGATCTTGAATAATATACGAGAATTTCAGAGTGCTATGCTCATACCCTATTCCAAACCCATCTTTTCCAGAATCTGTGTCCTGAAAATGTGAAAATCCAAACAGATGTTGAATGAGTTTTTCTGGTATGATTAAATTAAGCATCTTACATCCAACCCAATTACTTAAAAGTAATATGTATAACTATTTCTAACTCTGTACACAGAATAGATAAGAAGATTTGTTTGATCCTATGTTGCCTGTGCACTGATACTCCATCATTAATAAAGTATAAAAGTATAATTTTAAATGGCAACTTTTCTGGCTTGAGACTGAGCCAGAAATATCTGAATGGGGATAGCAAAATGCTCACGTATTATTTCAGACTTAAATTATTTTCTGTGCCGAATTTAATCTAATTTAGTTTACCTTTTTTGGAAATAAAGTTTATGTTCATAATTGTTGATCATTTTTGATTGTAGCTTGAAAAAACACTATGGAAAAATAGTATTTTTTTTATTTAATTAGTCTGTGAACATTTTGATTTACATTTTTACAAGAGATCTATAACCATTGATTAAAACTCTTCTAAATAAAACCAATTTCTAAGCGCTAGCGGATAGGCTATACCATAGATAAAACACTTTCCATATTTGAATAGCGCGGGCTTTTGCCAGCTACGTCAGCTGCGCGTGTTTGCAAACAGCTGATTCACTGATCAGTCTCCCCCCCCAGTCTGTCTGTCAGTCACGTTGTTATTACACGTGATCCAGCCCAGAGCTTTGTTATTGTTCCTCATTACTGGAAGATTTCAAGTGTGAAACCTTAAGTTTTCTATTAACTAATTTACTAGTGATGCAAGTTAGTGTATTAGTGAAATAAAGCACATTTATTTCTCTTAAACATCTTATGTCGACCATATGCGCCGAAAGCGGAAGAAAATCCAGTTAATCATTGTTTTCAACCCGTCTTAAAAGGTAGGCCAAACATCACTATGTTGTAGCTAATTAATTAGCCTAGTTCACTCTTGTCTGTTGTTATTATTTTCCTATTTTAAATATGTAAGTGTTTTGGATATGTCATGCATGATAAAACAGAAGTACTAACGTGTTGGTGTGCCAAGTGGAAGGGTAGAAAAGGTCAATAAGGGCGTATTTAATGTTATCTGACGCGCGTACAATGAATTAATTAGGCCTACACGGGACCGGCTATAACAATGAGGATATATTGTGTATTGTATAAAACTTATCAAGTTATAGCACTATTTGAACCAATACTGACACCTTATGAAAGAAATCATCAGTGGTGTTATTTTCGTAGAAACCCAAAGAAATGTCCATCCCCCTCTGTGTTGTAAAATAACTTGCTTTCCCCATTGTAAGGTTAGCCCTCAAAAGCGTTGAAGAATAATTTATAGAGCACCACTGGAGAACCAACTTAAGTTAGGTCACTTATGGCAATACAGTAGGTATAAATTTAAAAAAGTCCCAACAAAAATGTTCTATATTCTCAAGATTCTTTAGTAGATTATGCATGACACTCTAGAAAGTGACATACCTAACTAACCTAGGTAACTTTACCTTGCTATGTAATGTCTAGCAGTTCCTATACTACAATTAAAAATGTTTATCTTAAAATGCTAAGGTTTTTATAAGTTGCCTCTAAACTTTGTCTAGCTAGGTGTTAGAGTTGTCATAACTTAGTGCTTACATTGAAATCTGAAGGTTATATACTGTTTTTTTCCTATTTTCTAAGCTAAAATTGACTCTAGACCATGTCATAGTTTTTACCAAACAGACTAAAATAAACATTTTCCTGGCATAATTGTACTATAACTTATTATACAGTGTGTAAATTAAGTATTGAAACAAATCTGTATTTTAAAAACCGAAACAGATAGAGATATTCTGTTTCTTGCAATAATTGTAAACAAAGGTTCCGCAATTTTTTACATCAAAAATAATTTTTTACCCCCCTAATAGGGTAGGCCCTAGTGGGTAGGGGGTGACTAATTTTTTTCTAATGGCAACCCCTATTGAGTGACCCCTTATTTTGAAGGGTTTGTCAAAAGAAACACATTGACGCAAATCCGAGGTGAATATCTCACCTCTAGCCAAAATGGCAGGCATTCCAAAATTTGATTTTCTGTATGGGAAAAAGCACCAATTTCACCAATAATGGAAAGAAATAGCCTATGTATTTTTTAAACCGAAATAGATAGAAATATTCTGTTTGTGGAATTGATTGTTAACATAGGCTAGGTTCCGCAAATTTTTACATCAACAATATTTTTTCAACCCCTTTAAGGGGGTTAAGGGGGGGGGGTTGGGGTGACTTATTTTTTTCAATAACAACCCCTATTGAGTGACCCCTCATTTTGAAGGGTTTGTTAAAAGAAAAACAATGACGCAAATCCGAGGTAGATATTTCACCCCTAGCCTAAATGGCAGCCATTCCAAAATTTTATATTTGTAAAAAAACACCCATTTTGGAATATCCTCCATTTTGGCTAGGGGTGAGATATTCACCTCGGAATTGCGTCATTGTGTTTCTTTTGACAAACCCTTCAAAATGAAGGGTCACTCAATAGGGGTTGCTATTTAAAAAAATAAGTCACCCTCTACCCCCTAACCTGTAAGGGGGGTTAAAAAATATTTTTGATGTAAAAAATTGCGGGACCTTTGTTAACAATTATTGCCACAAACAGAATATTTCTATCTATTTCGGTTTTAAAAATACAGATTTGTTTCAATACTTAATTTACACCACTGTATTAAAGTGTTTTGGTATTTTCCTGGCTTATATAAGTTATTGTATTGTTATACACAGTATGCCTAATTACAATTTATGTGAACTTTTATATACGGTAACCCATTAGTGTTGGTTATAGCCTACCTACTGTTATATCAATCTTTTGATGCTATACTACGTTTTTTTAATCAAATAAATCCTACTAAGGTGTTTGTTGTCAACTTAACAAAGTTTGTAAAGCTTTGTAAAATAGCGTTTGCCACAGATTCCAATGAGCAGAGCGCCAGAGGGTGAAGAGTCGTGCTCAAAAAGTGGGGTCATACGATATTTAAATTTTGGGCTGAAAAATACCGTAATAATTCCACCAAGTTTCCTACAAACAAACTCAAACTCAATGCGGTTTGTTTTGTATAGCTTAGCTATGTATGTGGAAGAGATGATAGTATAAATTACACAGTATTTTGAAAGGCTAAAATCGGGTTGGTATCTGGCTCCGGGGAGTGGGACTTGCAGAGATTTTCCCCTCAAACCTCATATTTACAAGAAAAATCCCTTCATTAAAGAAAAAGAGTGGTGTCTTCATCATAAGCCACGTATACATCAACATAAACATTGTGCATTGCCAACGAATTTGAAATAAATGTTTCATTAATGAACAAATGAAAAAAGACAGGGTATAGGCATATAGGCCTATGGTATCCCTTATGTAGCCTTAACTGGTAAGAACAATAACCTATTTTTTCCAACAAGAGAAATAACTTAAATGTGACATTTTAGTGACATTTTTAAGTAAAAATTAAATCAGGCAATGTGAAGCTCGCTTAGTAACACAACACAAACCACACAACAATACCAATACCTAATGCCTAGTGTGTTGTTATATCTTAGTACATTTGCTGAACGGAGGTACTACTAAAACTTATTTTATTCCATGGGAAGGATTGCGAGAGACTCAGTCAACAACATGTGCTATTTCTACCTTTACAATTACCTAAAAAGTTGTTTCTTCATTTTGTTTGAGTTAAGCCTCCGAATCACTGATCAAAACGTGTACTGGTGAAATTACCTGCTGTCAAGTGATCCTTTTGACCTTGAAAGGCGACCGGTTTCGATCCTCACGGGATCATCTTCAGGCGGACGTCGTCATCGTCTTTTCGTTCTTGCGAACACGTCGTTTTTTAAAAAACATTGAGGTAACAGTTTTTAACATTTAAAACACAAAAAACACAACACGAAAAATGGCCAATAACTATTATGGTACCGATCGGTGGAGCGGCGTGCGACACGGAAGTTGAGTCTAGACGCGTTTTTTAAAAAACGACGTGTTCGCAAGAACGAAAAGACGATGACGACGTCCGCCTGAAGATGATCCCGTGAGGATCGAAACCGGTCGCCTTTCAAGGTCAAAAGGATCACTTGACAGCAGGTAATTTCACCAGTACACGTTTTAAAAAGTTGTTTAGGAACTGCAGACTTAAATGACAAAATAATGATTCTTATACAGTTTACTATTGGCACTATTGGTCAATAAAATATTGATCTTTCTCTCCCACAACCATGGCATTTCGCGGTCACAGAGTCATCATCATCATCGTCTCCCGCGTTCACGGCGACATCGTGGATTCGTGATCGTCTCCCGTGGTCGCGGCAAAATCGTGTTTTTTCGCGCAATCTTCGTGACGCTTTCTGCGATTTTCATCCATATGTGTGCTGTAGCTTATTTTACACTGGTCGGATCCTTCTTTATTTTGCTTTGAGGCATTTGTGTACACATATCTGAAAAAACAAGCACGTGTCGTTGATGAACGGTTTGGAGAATGTAGATGAAGAACAATTACAATTTTGTGCCATAGCATTCAAAGTGTATTCAATAACGTGATTGAAACTGAATTACGATTTCTGACACAAACGATACAAGTACTGTAGACTAAGGGTATTAGTGGCCACACTACACATCAATGTCGCTCTCATTAAGTTTACAATATTACTTCGTTGTCTTAGTTAATCACTAAGTTTTACAGTATAATGAACTAAGTAGCCCCCATTAGACGAACAATATCGATAAGCGTTGCTATACCATTTTCCCTGTCTCTAATTGTGGTGGAAACATTCTGAATATTATATAATCTATCAAATAACATTGTTAGAGTTAATTACAAGAAAATGCCATTTACCGTATTAAATAACATCTAAAATCGCCCTAATGTACCGTAGTAAAAACTTTAGTTTCAAATTTGGCAACGGTGTTTTTATTATTTTTTCCCAATCAATTTCGTCCTAATGTTCATAGCCAGTGTTTTTGCATTATGGTATCTCAAGATCAAGCTATTACGGCATAAATATTTCTCTAATTTTTCACATTGTTAACGTAAATTACATTTTGCAAACGGAAGGAATTTTTTTTTAAAGATGTTTTACTTTTCTTCGTCAGTAAAATTCACATAGAATTGGGTAAAACAACGTACACTACCCACTAACACAGTGGCCAATATGTCATACACACGCAGGAACGCAGTTAGATATGTCAAGAGGGAATTTTATCATGTCGTAATATAATGACAATATTGCCGAGGCTCGCTGACGTCATCACGACGTCGGTCACGTGGCCACACCACGTGATGCCTTCTGATCAGATGTACTTGACAGGTCTCTGTTTTCCTTTTTATTTTCCTCTTTGTCTACGGACGTTCGCTTGGATTCGGAATTGTTGTATAAGTGATTATACAGTCTTGAATCATTATTCCTCGAGAGAGATAAATGAATTGAAAATATAAATTAATACTCCTAATATATTGGGATCATTTTCATCATCTTTCGGCATCATTGCACTTGCATGTAACCTGATTATTAATCTGCAAACTCTTTATTGTAAATAGATTATAGTTGTATATTGTTTAATTTATTGTATATTATTGTTTGTTATTATTTGAAATCTAGCTGTCTTGATTGTTATTATTAACTACATTGTGAAAAAATTGTGGAACCGTTGATAATAAATAAAAAATGTTTAGGTTGAAAAAGTAAAATTAAAGGATAGTACCCATGACTATGAGTTAATGAGTATCTCAAGTAAATTATATTAAGTGTACATGAGTACAGAATAATGCGAGTATTTTCTCAAACCCTAGTAAATCTTACAAAGATATAATTAGCTATTGTTTGTAACTCCTGTGTTAACTCAACGAGTTCTGAAATGAAATAAGAAGGAATTTATGCAGATTAGGTGCATGTGTGATTACAAAAAATGAAATAGACAGTTTGTATGTAATTTAATGTACAGTTTGTCTATTTCATTTGTAATCACCCTGTACAGTATATTTGAACTTAAGAGAGCATGAGGGTGCTTCACAGGGGAAAACAACTCGAGTTTAAGGCGTCACGAAAAATCTGTAAAACCGAAACCGGCAAGGTTGATGGTTTACGTATTTTATTTTAGCTATACATTTTCGGAACCTAAAAGCAAGATCATTATTTTAAATAATGTATTTTAACGCCAGATCAATTAAACTATCTTGAGTTTAGTAGGCTAATGGTTTCCATACTTTATTGGATGTCAGGCAGTGGCGTCATTTCACCAAATCCTTTGGGGGGGCAAACACCGGGGGGAATGGGGGGTATGGAATACCACTCAGCAAACAAGGGGGGTCCGGGCCCCCCCCGGAAAATGTTGCAGTTTTGATACAAAAAAAGAGGGGTTTAAGCTTATTTTAATTGTCAAAAGCACTTTAAATAAAAAAAATTGTAAAATTTATTTAAATTTAGGCAGAAAGTTAATGAAACTAAGAATTATTGACAACAGACAGAAACACAATAATTTTATGATGGTAAGTTAGTCATCTAAGAAACGTGATCAATAGTTCCATGATGTATTAATTTATGTAAACTACTAATTTATGTAAACTCAAAATGTGCTATCCAAGACAATAAAACAATAATAATTTTTGTTTCAAATTACTGTACAAGAATATACAGATTTTTGTCTGCTGTGCTTTCTAGGATTTGACAGGAGAAAATATTTGTATATTGGCTAGTACAGCATATTTTTTTTCTCTAGCCCAGGATCCAGGGGGGGCAGATGCCCCCCCTGCCCCCCCCCCCCCCAAATGACGCCCCTGATGTCAGGACATCTGTCGTAGGCCCACCGTATTGATTTCTCAATCAGCCAAGTTACGAAACACTAATGAAACAAATCATAATTGTTGTTCTATAATCAAAAAATACCCCCGCCGCAGCAAACCTGCCGTCTAAGCGAATTTCCATTTGGCCGAATTGATTTTCAATTGATCTATTTAAATAGCATTGGGTTTAACGAGTACCTAGGTTTGCTGCTACAAGGAAACTAATAAAGTAGTGTGTTTTTAGTAAAATATTGATAGCTTACTATAAAATAAATACATTTGCCAAGTTTGATCAAAATATATCCATAAACAAGCAAACTACAACATTTTACAATATTCTCCATAAGAATAACATGGGAATTTTAAATTTACAATTTTTTTAGTTTTCTCCGTAACCAATAACCGTACAAAAACACTTTGATATACTGAATTGTTTGTTTTTTTAAGCTCTTTAAGAAGGTTTGGAGAAAAATTGGGAAATTTTGTGTTTTGAGGGCAAAAAGTGAGAAAAACCAATTTTTACCCCATAAAACCCCCCCTAAAACCCTGTTCCCATGGTCCGATCATGCTGGATCGCGAACTCATTCAAGTTTATCCTGCCTTACACCTTCAAACCAAATTTCATCAAAATCGGATAAAAATTACTCAAGTTATCGTGTTCACGGACACATATATATATAAATCTATATATATACCTATATATATATATATATATATATACATATATAAAAATTTGAACGAATGGTGTTTTTGGCCTCTGGGGACATTAAAATGAAAAAGTAAATCGGTCCCGGGCCTAAGTCTTACCATGAGACCTACGGTAATAGCTACTTCCCTATAGGGAAATTCGCTAATAAGTAGAAGTAACTAATATAATGGTTTAATTACCTTCATGATGTCAAAACTACTAAGTAGAAGTACTATAAATGGGAGCAAGCATGAGCGAGTTTGTCTAGTGGTACTTCGGTCCCGGGTTCAAATCCCACAAATCACCAATAGATGTGTTATCTTTGTGACAATGCAGCAACGATCTAGGCATTGCCTGAGGTAATTTGTAAAACAATTCCGGCTAGGGGAGGGCTGGGGTACGTTCTAGGATGTGAAAATGGGACAAAAACGCATTAAAATCACATTTTAAGGCCATGAAGCACTGTTCAGAAATTCATACGGTGATGATGCATTCTGCAACTTACAAAACAGCAAATAAACCCACAAACTGTAAGCCACACTCATTATTGCCAGTTCAATTGTTTTATGCCAATAAGTTTACATGTAAGTTAGTTCTTTCCGCTTTTGACATCTGTTGTTGTTGTTGCATGTTTATCGTATCTCCTTTCCGGAGCGGTAGCGGTGCGATATACCATACTTATTTACGTCTATTAGGCATACGTCCTCGCGCTTCACATGAAAGTTTGCCTGCGGACTGCGGTCCTAAGAAGGTGATATTAGCGTTTGGTAATAAAAAAAACAATGTTAAAAAGTTATTACAAAAATTATGGTAAATTGTCTGCAGTGAGCAATTAAAAAACTTCACTATACGGTTATTTCACTCCGCCTAGGTAGTAGGTCTGTGCCTAGTATGTTGTCATCGACTATTTACGCCGTGGCAGTGCTGATTTGTATTTCTTGGATTTCATTCTATAACTCTTTATTTACCTTCGCCGACAATCCAATTTATAAAATATCTCATTTAGTTATTTAATTTATTGATTTATTTGTTCCGAGAGAACGCAAAAATATCGAACTGATTGGGCAAAAGTATTAGCTCAGATCACCACGAACCTGTCCAAAATAAACTCCTATTCTCGTCTTAAAATCCTCTTGGGCCATGCACCGTGGACGTCAAAATTGTCGAGTAACCCTTAAATTATGGTTCTTAGTATTTTAGCTATTGTTTACTTAATGTCTGCCTATTTTTAAGGAGGAAATTCCAAAGCAAAATATTTTTATGTGTACACAAATTATATGATAACCTATTATAAAGATTCTATATTATCAAACCCAGTGGTTCAGTTTCTGTAGCTCTGACCCTAAACTTCTATCCTCAAATTAAACTTTTGTATTATATTTTCAGACAATTCAAGATGGAAGTTGTTATGTCAACACAGGGAATTAATTCCCTATTTGCAGCTCTTGGCTGTCCAATCGGAGAAGATTATATAATAGGAGATGACTGCCAAGGTAAGATAACTCCCCTGTGTATTGTAGCACGTTTTTCAATGCTGTATTTTATAACAAAATATCAGTACTAAACAAACAAACAACAATGTTAAAACAAATGATTTAAAATATAAAATACAATAAATATTAAAAAGATACCTATGAAGTCGGAGAGTAATCCAAAAATCCAAATAGCTTGGTTCTATTTTTAAGCTAAGTCTTGCAGGGATATCAATCACCACAGATTAGCTTAACTTAATCACACTTTATTTTTACCTGTTGTTAGTTGTTTGCATTAATTTATTTTCAACCTCAGTAGGCCATAACCCTGAATCTTAAGAAAAAAATATTTGAGTTATTTAGGTTTTATCATCGACGTTATAACACTAGTGTTATATAGTAAATGGTTTTATGCACTTGTAAATTCTTTAGAATGTCTTTAGATCGCGGATGGCGTTGATTTACATTTCCATGACGGCATGAGACGACGATAATGCTGACAAACCACGGGAGATCTTCAGGATTTTACCTTAATGGCGGATGACAATTATAAGGTTCCCGTGACCGGAGAAGACAATTTCACATCCGCGGGCGATATTCAGGATTTTGCCGCGATCGTGGATATGACCATTGACTATATACCACAACTGTTGTATATTTTGTATATTTATAACTGTTTATATCAGTTGTTGTTACTGTTGTAACTGGCTATATTGTGGTAGTCAATGATATGACCACGACAATGTTGAAAAACCGCGGGGGCAGGATTTCAGGAATTTACTGTATGGCGGAGGGCGATGGCGATGATAACATTTCCGTGACTTCAGACGACGATAATATGGACAAACCGCAGTCACCTAGTTTTCTTTTGAGGATTTGAAGTAGACCTACTGGCATTACTATTATAAATGCAAATTTTCTATTCCTACTGAAATATATATTCTCTTATTTTGATTATAAAATATTTAACTATACCTCTCTCTATTTTATACGGTATACAATATAATTTTATAAAGGTACCAATTAATTAATTACTTTAAAATAATAACTTTAATGCTAATGCTATTTGTAAGTTCACTTCAAATATTTAAAAAATCTGCAAGTTGTTTTTTTATTATTGGAATTGTTATTTATTATTTTTATATTTACTTGTATTCATTGCCTATGACCCTGCCAATTTGAGGTAAAAATTGCCTCTTGAAGAAAACAAAATATGAGATGAAATTTATTACAAACTTAGTTTCTTGTTTCATCCTTTATCTTATCTACTCAAAAAATTACATAAACATTTTGTGCATATTAAATCTTAACTGAATTGCACTTTCTTTTGTAATTACCAAAATTCATAATAGAGCTTGAGGCTTGGACTTTTTCTCAAAACCTCGGCATAGACTCAGTTGGATTTAACATATCAGCCTCGCAGACCTCTAAAAAAATATAAAAAAAAGAAATAAAAAATAATATAAGGATTCTTTTGTGATGACGAGCTTGAACCAACCAACCCACATTTTCTCTGTCATTTGCAGATTCTACTTTGACTCACTCCCACACTAGCACTTCTGTGTTTGACATTCATTAGTGACGTTTAACAGTTAATTACTGTTGTATTTATTCTATTACAGTTAACATGTGTTTCAGCAACCTTGGAAGAAATATTGACACGGTTATACAAAGAAGACAAATATGTACGGGGCTTTAGACGACTTATTGCAAATTCACAAGTTATCAAAAAAGTAAGTAGGAATTAATTGAAATATAAAATAGATAGTAAGTACATTTTTTAAATAATTTAAATCATAAATGGTAAAAATTAAATGATAATAGTGTAGGGTCCAAGTTTCATGGGAAACTTTATTAGAATATATAAGTTAATTTTGCTGCAATTTTAGCACCAATCTTTTTTGATGGGCTGCTGGATGTTTGTACTTTGGACTGAATTTAATTTTGTAAGATTGTGCCCCTTAATCTGCTTGTAAAACAGGACATTGGCTCCATAAGTGTAAAAACAAAATGTAAGTATCACGTGAATCTGATCACATTTACAATCGAAAAAAGATAATATGAAACATATACCGATTTCTAAACAAAACTTCTAAGCAAGACAAGTTGATGAAATGTCCTATTTTAGGACATGAAAGTATAACCTACATAGGCTAAGTCCTTGTAAACTTCTTGAGGATTGTATTTAAGAAATTGTCACACAATGAAGGTTTTTGTTAAGGTTTACTTGCAAATTCTAATGGTTTTTAGGTAATCAGGAAGTTTGATAAATTACAAAAATCTAATTGTAACAAATTTATTATTTTATACAGTATTTAGACTTGTTCTTTACATTGGTTAGATTAAAGTGGTATTTTGTGTTTCCCTTTTCACATCCCATAAGAATCAAAACGTAGTATTTCAAAAATAATTATTAGTGTATACAGTAATGCCATATTTGTATTATCGTTGATTTTGCATGTGCATATTGTTGTTGTATGTTAATTTTTGTGTATTTTTTACTTTCAGGACCTTCTACCCCTATTTTACAATGTCAAGAATGATTATAAAATATTGGATTTAATAATTGAGTAAGTAATAGTTATTTACAAGTTTTTAATATCATCTTACAAAACACTGTTGTGTTATGAACAAGGGTACTAGGCTTCAAGTAAAGTAAGATGGTGATTAAAAACCTAACATTGAATTGCAATAGCAAACAAGTGCTAATTGAATGAACGAAGTGAATTCTCATACATGACAAAATGCATCTCATTGCACAACGATAACTCGACAATGACTATGTATATCAACTTGATGTTTTGCACAAAGATTTTATAGCATATTAGCTTGCGTGGGATTGTTTATTGGAGATAATTTTTGCTGAAATAAATAAATATCGTTAAATAACCATTTTAATTTTGTCCCATAAGAATAACATTAGGAGCTACCTTTTTCTTCTTTTTTTTTGTTTACATTTTACGAGCAACAATTTTGTCGATTGCTTGAGACACAGAGAACTACTAGCCAATGAACTCTTTTATTCATAGAGTAACTGTTGTACGGTATTCACATTATAACAACTTTTAGAATAATGTCTTTAGAAAAAATATGACTGGTAGTGGTTAAAAAGTTATAATATAATATATAGAAATTTATTGCAATCGAATTTTGAATGAAAGAATAAATTTTTACATGTTTAGAGGTTACGGTTGTTTGGTCCGACTACACGACGGACGATGCAACGGTCGACGAAGCCGTTGAGGCGTTGACCAATGACCGTTGATGTTTTATCTATGGTTTAAGTTACTACTGTAATCGAATCGATAGTTTCAATCGATATTAGCATAGCATAGCCTAAGGGAGTATTTTTATCTATGGCATAGCCCAAGCCCACTTTTAACAAATAAGTGTTTTTCAAATTATATCTTCAGCAGGAATTCGTAGTGTGCACTCTGCGGAGCAGAAGTCAGAATCAGGAATCAAGAAATAACTGCACTGCAGTCTGCTAGGAGACAACAGACTTTTACTTTGAGGTTAAAGTGTTCAGTTATAGTAGTATCGAATCAATGTTTAAAAGAATGCAAATCAGTGACCAGTGTCTTATTAAATCAAATCTCAAGCTACTCAGCCTAAACACTTTAACGAGTATGTTTTATCTGTGGTTTAACCGATAACAATTGACGAATTGACTTTTTCTAGGCTACACCAACGCAACAAGTAAACTTAGTACCTGTAAGTATATAGTTGTTGACGCGTGTGTCAATGGAAATGGACGCAAGAACAACAACAGGAAGGCCATTTTCAGGATTTTGCCTAAGTACCTATTGACACATTTTAATTAGTCTTATCGAACTGTAAGTTGACTATGTGACAACCCAGCATATAGACACTTAACTAATTAGGCCTATTGAACGGTAATAGGCTAATAAAATGATAGCCTGCTACTGCTTTGAACAGCTAGCCTAGCCTACTTATAATAGCCTAATGCTGTTGAGGCCGAGGGTCAATATAACAAAGTAAGGACTAGGACTAAGCTAAGATAACCAACAAGTGAAGATCAAGACATTGGAGTTGACATAAAGTTGGGCCCATATGTCTACATTGATCCCTTTAAACCAAGCCAGTGGAAAAAGGCTGGTGGTGAGACGGATAGGGGAATTTCAAAAATATAAACTCAAGCGAGAAAGTGCTGTGTCATGTGAAGTGTATGTGTCAAGTGTGTCTGTTGACAAAGGCTAAGCTATCTTATGGCATATCAGTGAGTGTTATGTTAAAATCTGTTGCTGGTGTTGCTAATGCTGCATTACACATATAATTTCAAGTTAGGCCTACTGTATTTGTTTGTCTAACTAACAATCTGATTTTATGCATTATTCACTGACATAGAGCGTAGGCCTCCCTAGCAAGTAAAAAAACAAAGATAACTTAGCCTAAGTTAATAGCCTATCTAGGCCTAGAAAGGTAATGTATTTAACGTTCATCTAGCTAAGTTATTAGGTATAGGCTTACGTGTTGTGGTAGGTTACCTACCCTATCTTCAGGGTGCAGTCCCGCAGTCAATTTAGCCTTAGCCTATGATATTTTATCGGATGAAATATTATTGTTCGAATCAAAGCGGCTGTAAACTTAGGCTGCACTTTAGTTTACGTCCTACACTCGCTCGAATGAAAAATATCAATTTATATGACTGTTTGATATATCGATGATTTCATTTGATTAAGTTTAGTTAGGTTAGGTTAACCTAATTAACCAAACTTGATATAAGTTACCGAATGAAATACTTAATTGATATATCGATCATCAATTCATACATCATACGATACATTCATCATACATTACCGGTAGGCCTACATAGGCTACATATATCGAATAATCAATATATCGATCAACAATTACATTCGGTTGTTTGTGCCAACAGATATGGAAGTCTACCCGATTGTTGTGCTCCTACTTATTGTATCATCGGGTTCCATTTTTAGGCGATACCGTAGGCTTAAAAAGATACCTTAGAATTTTGATGTTAAGTTATGTTTTTTAATATGAACATTTGGCTGCACTTTACTTTAGGTCCTACACTCATTCGACTCCAAACGATATATCGAATGAAACAATCGATTAATCAATACATGTCAATCGATATTTTCATTCGATTGAGTGTAGGACCTAAAGTAAAGTGCAGCCGAACATTTTAAGCCTTGGATCTTTTGGTACTTTCCTGTTTTTAAAGGGAATATTTATTAATATCAATGATTTTCTCGATTCTTATCAGTATTTTTGTTTTCCTTTACGATTGATTACAAATTGACAACTGATCTTGTTTATGCTAAAATATAGTCTATCATATGGATTAAGAAACGAAACTGTTCTAGGCCTATAAGCTAACCTAACATAACCAACCAGTCCGTTTCATAACAGAAAAGGCAAGTAGAGAATATTAAACAGAATTTTTAAATGTTACAGCGAGTTGGTTAGTTTGGTACTTTCCTGTTAAAGGGAACATTCATTATTATCGATCATTTGTTTCTCGATATATCGATATTAACAAATTGAAACATATCAGCTAACAACTACGACAAATATTGTTCAGTATAGGCTATCAACAAACAATGATGAAATGAAACTGTTCTAAAAAAAATAACCTAATATAACTAACCAAACTTGCTGTGTAACGTGTAACATTTAAAAACTCAGTGTTTAACTTGCCTTTTTTGTTATCAAACAGAATTTTTAAATCGTACAGCAAGTTTGGATGGTTATGTTAGGTTAGCTTAGAACAGTTCCATTTCTAAATCCATATAGGCCTAATGGACTATTTTAGCTTAAACAAGATCAGTTGTCAATTTGTTGTTGTTGTTTTGGATCGAAAATCAAAAATATTGATATATCAAGAAAAAAATCATCGATAATAATAAATGTTCCCTTTAACAGGAAAGTACTGTTAGTTTTGTTAGGTTAGTTTAGAACAATTTCATTTAAATATTTTTTTAAAAATTACCTCCTTTGTTGATACTGAACTAGCCTATATTTATTTATTGTAGTTGTCAGCTGATATGTTTCAATTTGTTAATATCGATATATCGAGAAAAAAATCATCGATAATAATGAATGTTCCCTTTAACAGGAAGGTACCGATCTTTTTAAGAAGAATATTTTACACAGTGCTGCGGCAGTTAGGATGCGTAAGATTAGTTTATTTTAGTTTATGACAGGCCTAACTTAATAACAAGTAAGATTAGGCTAGCTTAACATTTCTAAAAAAAGAAGTTGGTTTATTCTGTAAGTTAGTCTGTTACCGATCATCAAATACAGTTGACACCAAACTTTTAGTCATCACCCTAACCTAAAGGCCAGATTTCCCTTTTGGACTAAGCTTATTGAATTAAAACTAATCCACAGACCAAACCTATTTAAGTTATTTGTTTTTCTAAACAAGTAGGGTTGAAATAACTTACACAAAGAATACGCGTCCGGTAACCGGACGTGGATTAGGCATTCGGCAGTGACGTCACTGGGTTGTGGGGGCCCAGAGCGCAATTACCTCAACGATACGATGTTTAGCCATCGATGTTTGTGGTGTAGTGGATAGAGTGCTCGGCTGATATGCAAGAGGTACCTGAATCGAATCTCATCGGTAACTTTAACTTTTTGTCAAAAGATTTCGCTTTGAATGCCATTTCTTCTAAACTGTACATCTTTTATTAGAATTTTTTGCATTTATAATTTTATTTTATGAACAGAATTTAACCTTCACTCGATTTTTTCATTATCAGCAAGTTTGCTTGGTTAGGTTAGGTTATGACAGTAACTACCGGATGCCTAATCGGCTGCAATTTACTTGACGTCCTACACTCATTCGATTGGTTTTTTCAATTCGATATTTTCATTCGATTCTTTCATTCGATATATCGTTTGGTTAGTTAGGTTAGGTTAACCTTACCTAACTAACCAAACGATATATCGAATGAAGCAATCGATTAATCGATATATCAATCGATATTTTCATTCGAATGAGTGTAGGATGTCAAGTAAAGTGCAGCCGCCTAATCCACATCCCATGCCGGACCGGACGCGCATATCTTCTGCGAATAACTTAATACGGTATTTGTTTTTATGAAATAGGAAAACAAAATTAAATTGGGTAGACTTTCATAAGTGGGGCTAAATACAATCAAACAAGTTAAATATACCTATATTGATCGATAGCCTAGGTATATAGATTATTTCATTTGATATATCAAGTTTGGTTGGTTAGGTTTGGTTAGTTAGGTATAATACCTGTTGAAGAGAACATTAATTATTATCGATGATTTCTTTTTGATAGCCTATGATATTGATATTTTTGTTTTACTTCACGATCCGTATTCCTTCTGATTTATTACCTTTAAACGCATTTAAATTAGCCTACCGGTACCACAAATTAAAAACTAACTTAGTTTATAGGCAAAAATAAATTCCTAAATATTCCTAATCCTATATAGACCTATTGAATGAGGAAAGACCTATTCTAAACTAACCTAACATAACCAACCAAACTTGCTGTAGGCTAAGTAACCGGTTCCGAAATTTTGTTTGATAACAGAAGATGCAT